AGATACCGTAGTTGAAAATTCGCTGTAAAATGCCATGTTTGGCTTTCAAAATACTGGTTATTAATTAGCATTTTCAAAAGCGTTCTGTGAGCACCAAATTTAATGAAATGATCCCATACCTTAATCCCCTCTTTACAAATTTATCAAATTTATGCGAGCTTGCTTTCTTTTGCGCTTTTCATGAGCATAGTTCATTTGCTCCACCTCGGGGCACTGATTTTCGCCATTTCGACGGTTACCGGCGCTCGTTCCAGTTTTCGTGAACTTTCTTGGATGAAGAGGCAAGTCTGGGAAAGAAAATCTTACCACGTTGCTAAGTTCACTTTAGGGTACTTCTGACTGAAATTTGAGGGTCTTTCTTTTAAGGTCAGGAATTGAGGTGTCCACGTACGGTAATTAATATGTAAAGGCCATGAAGACATTCCGTGGTTTTAAAAAGACTTAGAGAAGACAATTTTGTTGGGAATGTCCTTGAATTGTGAAATATTGCCCAGTCATGGCAAAAAAATCTCTAAGGCCGAAAAAAAAAGTAGTTCAAACTACAGCGCTGTCGGAGAAGGCCTGACCCGTAGACCACACAAGTTGACACCGCTTCCGATCGGTGACTGCACCTGTTAAAAAAGAATATTGCTAATCGTTGTAAAAGATACCATTTATAAATCGATCAGCTGCAAATGTGGTAACATGTTTACGACTAAAACATTGAGGGTTTCATGGCAGGCGTGTTATACCAGGAAGAACGCAGTTGCGTTGAATTTCTTCTTTCAAAACAATGATCCATAATTCAAACTACTCAAAGAATGAATTTTCCCAACAATAAAGTGTGATATTGATTAGAGTTTTCGTGAAAGCACAATACTTTAATAAGTCACAATAAGTTTTCTAAAAATAATTTTGAAATTTTTGACCGTAAAACAGTCATGTTAGTTAGTTTGGGTCAAACTCTTGAAGTTGTGCGATATCACACCTTTAAGTCAAAGCTTTGTCGACAACTCTTGTTCACCCGCATTAAGGCACGCAAGGTTAAAAAAGTCCTTTAAAAGACCTTCATGTCATGCCCTGTTAGCTTTTTGGCCAACCTAGACGAAGGATATTGAAATGGTAGTTGAGGCACACACGACGTTCTTATTGAGGTTGATGTTCAAGTACAAAAAACCAAAAAATTTAACCATTCCTTTCTTCTTTTTTCTATTTACACGGTTTAGCTCTTACCTTTTTAAGTCCTTAGCTCTGAAAACAGCAGAGAGTTATTTGTATATTGAAAACATCACGTTCAAAGTGTGATCTTTGTGGATCTTAGGCGGAAGAAACCGCCCACACAAGTGTCCAATGTAATCAGCGTTCTATATTTACTCTGTGGGATCGCTCGAGAAATTCATTTTTATTGCATCAATGCACAAATTTTATGAACGGACGTCATGAGAAAATCATTTTTGCATGTAACACTTAAGATCTTCTTCAAATTTTCTACCACATACGAGAAAGTTATTGAACAAGTATAGGTACTTGATGATGAAGGTCTTTATTATAGATCAAACTAATCACTTGCAGACATACGTGAAAGTTTACAATGCATCCCTACAAACATTAAACTAAATAAAGCTAAAAAGAGACTTATTTATAAAACAGCGCTTCAAACGCTCTGTGCGAACACACGGTAACGTATGTGTTCTGCTTATTGGTTCTTCTAAGTAATGTTCTAATACTCCGCATGATATCCCTGGT